TCTTGTTCATTGGCTTTGGCACCAGGATGTAAACAAGCAGAGATTTTGTCACTCCGCGTGCTGCTGGGTCCCCTCTGACACACAGTGGGCACCTGCACACCCTGATGGATGAACCAGTCTGGCCTGGGTTGAGCCCCGCTGCAGACGCCATATGCGGGCAGGAAGGGGGTCTCCCTGAYTCGACTCCACCCCAGCCCCTCTCCCCTTCTGGCGCTGGCTCTGGGTTCTCCTGTGCAGAACCGCGCCTGTCCRCTCCACTCCGCGTGGTTCCCGGGCTGCAGGGTGATCCGGCTGCCCCACCACTGGTCCCAGCCTGCCGWGTGGTTCATGGTTGACCAGATGTCCCAGGAATCCAGGCCCGAGAGACTCAATCTGGGGACTTCGTTGCACTTGTGGGAAAAGCTCCCTCAGCACAGGGAATGGCTTGCTAGAGTGCCACCTGGGTCTTGCAATGGTCAGGAGTGCCCTGTGGTGGGCAGGCCTGAAAAGGAAGCCGACTTGCAGGAAAACAGAGATCCGGGAGAYGGAGAGGCAAATGGCACCCAGGATAGTGCTGCTGGATCCAACCACACCTGAAGCTCAAAGTAGACTCAGACTCTTTATTCCCATGAGTCAAATAAATGCCCTTTCTAAACTGGCTTAGCTCTGCTAAGTCCCTGACATAGGGTTGTGACTCATGTGACTTTACATCCAATGGCATCTCCTCTCCACGGCTCCTTGGCAGCTCCTCCGACCCTCCACTCGGCTGTTCTTCGCACCCATGATGCGTGACTCTGTCCCCAGCACACGCAGCATCGGCAGAGGAAGCAGCCACAGTCGACCTGAYTGACAGGTATCACTCAAGCCCGGGGACATCACGTGCCTGGCTCACATACCTGGCCKTGTGCACCCGTGCCCAAGCGGCAGGCTCACCCCAGGGTGGGCTGGGAGGAGCCCAKGGTGACCTGCCACGTGGTGCCACAAGAGACTCGCGCTGGGAATGACTCCTAAACCTAGCAGGGTCATGGACAAGCAGCACCGGGCTCCGGCCCAGGAGGCACCGACGGAGGACGGCTTTGGAGTTGGAATGTGAGCCAGCCACCACACAGGCACAGCCTGCCTGGGCTCAGCCACCAGGGCACAGCACGCAGACGGCATCTCCATTTTACACCCGGGGGAGCCAGGGCACAGAGAAGTCAAGTAACTTTCCCAAAGCCGCACAGCCAGTGGTGGAGTGGTGATGGAGCCCAGCCATCTAGCTAGACAGTGCCCAGCCTCGCCCAACGCTGGGAGTGCTTCGAGATGTTCTGAAAAGGCAGAGAGTCCTTCAGAGGTGCTTCAAGCTTCTCTCCATGCTTCACCCGGCTTTGGGGGGCCTGATTGGGGTCTACCAGCCTCAGGGAGCTCCTTCACAGTAATATTCCAGCTTCAAAAACCAAGTCCAGGTGGAGAGGATCTCCAGGGCAGGACTGGATGCAGGAGGGGGGCCGCTCTGCGTAAGGACCGCGGGTCTGCTGAGCCGCGCCCGCCTGGCCTGGGCCCCTGGGTTTGGTCTTGGCCGAATTAAACCAGTGAACCCAGCAAAGGCCCTGGTTCCGGGCCTCCCTGACTGGAGGCCCCCACGAAGCAACACGGTGGCTGCTGCCCTGGACTCTCCCAGGGGAGGACGGCCACCAGCCCATGGTCCCCAGGGCGACCCTGGAAACACGGCTCTTCCCAAATGCCCTGAAAACAGACGGATGATTTGGGTCCCTTACTAATTCCTACGCCCCTGGAGCCAGCTCCCGGGCACGTGACACCTCCGAGGCACAGCTCAGGTGAAGATGCACRCCSGCCAGGCCCGGGGACGCCAGGTGGSCCCCCCAGCCTTCAATCAARGAYGGGGACGGGGGCCTTCTCTCCCAGTCTTTTCTTGCTGGCCTCTCGGCCGGACCCTAATTAGGGTGGACGGCTCTTCTGCGCCCCGGGGCTGGAAGGAAGCCTGGGCCCGTCTCYGTGGAGAAGTGGCCCGGCAGAGCTGCCGCATGGGTGAGCAGAAAATAGCAGGTGATGAATTTTTCAGGACCCCCCTCGGCGCGGCAGTTGTGCCGACTGTGAGATAATGGGCGGCTGTGGGACATGCATTATTGATCCCGTTCTGTCTCAGGCTTATAAAAAGCCATCGGCCGGCTGCCACCTCCCCACCCCTCACCTCCCGAAAGCTCAGCCTGGTTCCCAAGCCAGGTCTGCCGTGGAGGAGGCCTGGCTTGCCCGTGACGGGGAAGGCTGGGAGGCACAGGGCTGTGCCGTCCATGTCGCTGGAGGGGACAGACACGCCACAGAACACGCGACCAAGGATTCAGCCTTCAGCAACGCTCACTCGTGTGTGCAGCTATCTCACCAACATGCCCCAGATCTGGAAGCAACTCACTACCCGTCCCAGGGATCTGGTTGAGCAGAGCAGGGCTTCARACTCAACCTTGGATGAGGGGCTTAACTTCTCTGTTTCTCCATGGGCAAAATGGACAGAGCGGATCTGTACCTTGAGTCAGCCATGGTTGAGTTAGTTCTCCTTCTTACCCTCCCCATGCACCCACAGATCCTGTCCTCAGGTTGGCTTGTTCCGATGGTTTTATTAAGAGTCGCAGATGCAAGATCCAAATTGGATCCTGGCGCGAGTCGGCTTGGCTGGCTGCTCAGTCACTCACCTGTCGGCTCCCACCCCCACATCGTCCTCCTCGACTCTTCTCTTTCCTCACCTCCGATCGTCCCTGCCTCTATCTCCCAAGCTCACACTGAGACGGACCAGGTCTCACCAGCCATTGCCTCTGTCCCCTCTGGGCCCAGGGTCACCTGCCCATTCGCTGCCCAGCTTCCTGGACAGATTCTGCTCCTGGAATCTCATTCCTCTGTAAGGCCCCAGGGATCTTGGGGCACACGGTGAGGTCCTCGTCCTCCGTGGCTGTCCCTTTCACTGAGACCAACTCACCAGCCCTCCCCGTGTCCACCAGGCCTCGGCGGCCTGGCCAGGCGGCTCCTGCCCTCCACTCCCGCCCCAGAGCCCTCCCTGTCCTGCAGTGACACTGCCCAGTCCCCAGCCCTGGCACAGTGGGCTGCGCAGGGCAGAGGCCGCCGAGTATGTGCTGGGTGAGAGAACGGACCTCCAGGGCCTCTCAAAGTCCCCAACGTCCCTTCAGAACAGCCCCAAGGGCCACGCGAAGGGGGACCAGGGGCCCTGAGGTCCAGGTGTGCCCGCAAGTCCTCTGCGCCAAATTCTGCTGGACCCCGCCTCGTGGCCCTGGCCCCCAGATGCCCTGATCACCAGCAGCAGCTCCTTCTGACCGCTGCCGGAGCCGGGCAGCGTCTGTGTCCAGCGGGCAGCACAAGCTCGGGTCCTGACTGCTGCCTCCTGCCAGTTCCTCTTGCACAGAGAAGCTCCTGAGAAAYGCCCACACTTGACCCTCATACGGACCAGGGAGCCGCTGAGTTTTACCCTGAGAATTTCTTTGGCAGCTAAAAGACTGATTTGGCTTGTGAAGGTTTACCTGGCAAACACTATGCTGTGACGTTTGATGGTGACCAGAGGTAAGGGCTTGGCCCTCACCTGGCCAGTGACCACTCGACGGGCAGTCCTTCCCAGGATCGCACCGCAGTCTCTCTTCATGTTTCACCCCCCTTTTCCAGGCTCAGCCACCTCTGCCTTCCTGGTCCTGCCTCGGGGCCTTTGCACATGCTGTTCCCACTGGCTGGAACACATGCCCCAGATTTTCACAACACAGAGTGGTGCTGAAGATGAGCAGGGAATGATAAGGCCAGCACTGACCAGTGCAGTGGCCTCAAGCCACTGCAACTATGAGCACCTGAAAGTGGCTGTGCTGAGACACTCTGGGTGTAAAACATACATACATCATCAAAACCAGCTTAAAGGATGCAAAATGTGTCCTGATTTTTCATATTCGCTGCCTGTGGAAGTGACAGTAGTCAGGGTACACTGAGTTAAACAGAACGTTGTTAACTTCACTGTTATCTTCATTGATTTGTCGTAGGGGCCCTGAGCTACATCCTTAGCCTATTTTTATTTTGAGAGAGGGTCTTGCTAAGTGCCCAGGCTGGCCTCCAATTTGTGATCCACCTGCCTCAGCCTCCAGAGCAGCTGGGATTAAAGGCGTGCGCCACCCACTGGGCTCAACAGTATCCTTTCACTTTTTAAAAAAATGTGGCTCTTAGAAAACGTGGAATGACATTTCTCATTTGCATCTTATTTGCATCTGTGGCCGCATTTCACAGCTGACAGTTCGTCTGGGGTGGGGGATGGGTTCCAGCTCCCTCCTTGGTACCAAAACCCCTGAAAGGTCCAGGGCTGTCTGTAAAATGGCCTGGTGTTTGCGTATAACCTAGATCACTTCGGATGCCTGACTCAGTGTCACCGCTGGGTCACCAGTTGCTAGGCTGTACCGTTTGGAAACAACGTCCAGGTCTGTGTGTACTCAGTACGAAGCCAACCCCCTYCCATACTTCTGATGGACGGGGCCGCATCTGTGAGTGGACCTGAGGATAGGGGTGGGCTGGACAGCGGGTTTGCCCTGAGAAAGGACACCCACAGGGACAGTGGACTCCAGGGGGAGAGGGCAGAGGTCAGTGAGACCCGAAGGCGGAGTCTGGCCCCGGGGAACACAGGTCTGGGTGACCCCGGCTGAGGCCAGCTCTTGGGGGCCTCATTTCTGGAATTTCTTCCTCAGACAAATAAAGAAGGGCTCAGCTCGGGTGCAGAAGCCTGGCGGGGACCTTGCCTGGGAGAGGGAGCAGTGGGGACCGTCTGTGGTGGCCGTGGACGCAGCCCAGGTGGATCGGGTGGGGAACGAGGTGGGGAGGAGGCCCTGGTCCTGGCCTGCGCAGGCCCCCAGGAGCGGCTCTGCGGAGCGGACCCGACCCGAGGCTCTGCCGGGCGCTGCTCCCCGACGCGGGGTGAACGCACTTGGACGTGACCCAGCTCCCCGCCGCGCGAGGACCCCGGGCGCCTCCCTGGGGCGCCTGCAGCTTACCCAGCTCCACGTCCTGGTCGTCGGTCAGCACCAGGATGATGTTGGGGCGGATGTTCCTGCGGTCCCTCTGGAACCGGCCCTTCAGGCGGTGGGGGGACAGGAAGGCGGCGCTGCCGTCCAGGAGCGGCAGGACGGTGGCGGACAGCAGGCAGAGCAGCAGGCGGGGCGGGGCCATCTCAGAGGGCCCTGCGACCCTCCCGGGGCGGGCGAGGCTGACGTGCTCTGCGGACGGGTTCTGCTCCCTCTTCACTCACGACCTGGGGAGGAGGCAGGAACCGGGTCAGCCCCGTGCCACCCGGTGCTGCTGTCCTCTGCCTGGTGGCCTGGGCGGGTTGGCATGGGCCGCTGTCCTGGAGCAGAGCCCGTGGGCCCCCCTGGACTAGGGGCCACTGGGCTGTGTGGGGACAGCCCTGGCCCAAGGTGGACAGCCAGCTCCTCTGATTCAACCCACAGACCTGGCACAGAGAAGGGC